ATATACTTACTTACTTACCTTCCTCTCAAACATATTCCAGATGAGGAAACAAATGCTGCTTAGCAATGCTACTCAAGTATCTCTGTTGCTGGCCACTTGGTCAGTACCAGAAAAACAAGTAAATGATAATAGGTCGGCTGGTCAGGAGATCCTCTAATCTTTCCAGTAATTTCTCAGCCTGTTAGACACGGAGCCCAGAATTTGTATTCAGTTTGCTTGATAGCCACATCAGGCCTTCCTATGAAAATCAGATGGAATGCTGCACTTCAGTGCTTGGATTCTCTTTTAGATAGATTTAAAGTACAAGATATTTACTACCAATATGTTTCGGTATTTTTACATCAATATAAAATGAGCCTCTAAAGAATTTCCTCGGGAAGAATTCTCATGGAATAAATTCAAAGAGCGAGCACACAGCCACAATGTATCTTTTAGCGATTGAACAAGTCACTTTATTTCATGGATGTCAGCCTAGTTTTATCTGATATTCTTCAGCCAACTTGTACCCATCAGAACAGATTTGTAGCTTCATGTATATTTTAAAAATGTACATGGTGATCTAATCTTTAATAATAATCTTCCAACATTATTTTAATAGTTTGCCTCTACTATTTTCCATTTTGTTTTCTCCTAGAAACAGTTGAGATCAGCTGTAGCAGATGCATTAATGAATGCTTGGCGGGCACATATTGTACCACAGATAATTTTAACTCTTTCTCGCCATAAAAGAGAGACAACATATGATAGTTTGTAAGGCAAATATTAAGAGGGGCTTGAGGTGTGCAGCCCAGAGCTTGTGTGGACGGTGGGGTGGGGGTCAAATGATGCAGGATAAGACGAACAACCTGCAGAAACCAAGAGGATGTAAAATGTAGAAAATCTTGGAAGGATACCTTCCCTACTCAACATTGAAGCTGTAGAATAGCAAAAATGTAAATGGATCGATTCAGCTCTGTTGATCATACACAGATTCTGTTGCTTACTTATTTTTTTAATTTCTTTATTTCTTTAATTTTCTTGTTCACTCCTTTTGGATGTTTTTTATCAGAAATGATCCTCCCCTGCTTGGGATGGTTATTGTCCTATTTGGACCCAAAAAACAAAGATTTAAAATAAAATTACTTTACTGTATAGTAGTTTTTGGTGTTTATTGTATTTTAATGCAGTGTGAATGTCTGAATTTCCCTTGTTTACAATTATTTTCTCCATAACACATGTTTTGCCTTAATTTAGCTTGGTCTATTTTTACTATCCCAATGAGACAGAATGGTCACAACAAATTTGCAATTGAAATGCTGACGGAGTACTTTTAGGTCTATCTGGAAATCATAGGATACATTAATTTCCTGCTTTTCAGTTTATGTGTCACATCCTGAAATTTAATTTGCTGGTCTGACATTTTAATGAGTTTAAGGGCTGCTCCAGTTAAGCATTACCAGCAGAACCATCCATGTGTGCACCAATGTTATATGTCAGCATAATCATAACAATACATATTTTTGCTTGAAGGGGGATAGCTACTTCTTTGAACATTAAATACCTGAAATTCACCCTATTGCACGTTTTTAAAAAAATGTTTCGGAGGCGGAGCCAAGCCACTGAACCGAGCGGCCGCATGTGACTTCAACTCCGAGCAGGCGAAGAACTATTTAGCCGAAAAATAGGATTTACTCCACCTCAAACCATTCCAATCCCTGACCCACAAGTCATGGGGAAAAAAAACAAAATCGGACGATTACTCCCCAGGAGGTCCGAGGCCTAACGACCCGCGTTGGGGCCATAGGGAGCAATGCACGACAAAATGCTCACCTCAAGGCCCAAATCCAACTGGCTGTACAGGAGCTGCAGGCAAAACAAGCCACAATGGACCAGAAGTTCGCGGCAGTGGAGGACCAAAGGCGCACATCAAACCTCAGGATTAGAGGCATACCAGAGGAGATCCCAGAGAACGAAATGCCACTCTTACTACGGCGGCTCCTAGCGGCGCTACTGCCACCCAAGCAGGCAAAACAGATGAGCCTGGAGGGGTCGTTCCGCCTGCAATAATCGTTGAAAGCGCCGTCCGCGGCCCCGAGAGATTTACTGGTAAAATTTCAGAGCAGCAAGGACAAAGCAGCAGTCATGGGAGCTGTCAGGAATCACTCACCTTATGCCTTCGAAAGCATGCAGCTCTCATTCTACACTGACTTATCAGGATACACCATGGCTTGGAGGAGAACGCTACATGCCTTCATGACCTTGCTCCGGTCTAGTGGCATACAGTATTGCTGGAAGTTGCAGCACATAATGGAGGTCCAGCAAGGCACCGCAACGCACCCCATTCGGAACCTGCAGGAAGCAAGAGGCCTACTTCCTACCCTAGGACTGCCCAAGGACGCTCTGATAACAGTGCGACCACAAACCACGGCCCCCTCAACCCACACATGGAACCCAGATGCGGCACTCCAATTCAGAGGCCGCAATCCGAAGCATATGTGGCGGTAACCATCTGAATGGCAACAGAGACATTGCAGAGACTGGAGGAGCCCGTCTCACACAGACAGGAATATGCTCCACCAGATGAAGCTCACAAGTTTTAATTGACATTAACAGTAGCTATTTATGTTTCACTCCTTTCATAATCTACTTTCTTTACTTTCTTAATTATTTGTTTTATTACACCGCAACCCACTACATGCATCCCTCACGGGTACTCTCTACCATTACACACAGAGACACAAAGGACCACTGACCACACCTCCAATCCCATGTAGCGATGCGGTGTCGCACAGCATACCACTCCATAACATAGGGCACACAAAATAGGCACAGTACTTTGTCCCGGGACGGGCCTAAGACTAGTGCGGCCCCCATGGGAACCCATAGCACGCAGATGGGGCATTGCATTTCTAAGGTCACCCACGCTAACCGATGACCGGCATAGCCTAATCCTCCGATACCACGGGCGCAACACCGCCCAAGACAGCAGCTCACCCCCATGAATAAGGCGACCGCCCGTACTCATACGTTCCCACCAAGGGCCTATAACATTCACCCCAAACAATGACAGGAGCAGGGATACCCCCCCACCCCCAACACACACGAAGACTACTAGCCCATATAAACTTACCCAGACAAAACTCTTGAGCAGAACCTAACCACCTCACACATTGTGCTGTACCTCTACATGTCACTATATTCTCCCCCTATATTCATATTGAGAGTCTCACCAATGACAATGGTTGCCAACAACTTTGTTCACCGCACAACACGAAAAGTTTTTAGTACTAACCATCACCCTATTGATGACCTAACCTGTATCTATCAGTTCGTATGTTATTCTATGATACTCACAGTTACCTAACTCGAAACACTAGCAAGGTTATATTCAGATATGACTGATATAATAAGCTAACTTTTCCTTTTATTTTAATGACCTCACTGTATAGCCACGCTGATGTTGTTATAATTATACAAAATTGTGCAATTCCTCATGACACTGTCCAACTTAAGTGCATTCTCAAATGCACTGTAGAGGCATATGTCATTGCTATGTATAACATGCACAACAAAAATAAAGAATTAAAAAAAAAGAAAAATGTTTCATGTAGGTCTCCATTTTAAATGCATATTAAAGGAACACTATAGTGTGAGGAACACAAACCTGTATTCCTGACACTATAGGGCTGGTGTGTCTATTTAGGAACCCTAGCCACCCTGTCTGTACAGTGAAAAGGTGATATTACCCACCATTTCTCCCACGCCGCATCGATCTTGCTGTGGCTGGCCCCGCCTCCATAGCTGAGATCATCAGTCTTTAAGATCTCAGTCAATCCAATGCTTTCTCATAGGAAAGCATTGGAAGGTTATTGCACATGTGCGGCAAAACTCTGTGCTACACCAATCAGCATCTCCTTATCTCCTGAATCAATGCACCTCTACGGGTTACATTCATTGCCTCCTAAGCAGCAACATAAGCCTGCAGGCACTGACTATAGTCACCAGAGCCACTACATTAAAGGGACACTATAGTGTCAGGAAAACCACTTGGTTTTCCTGACACTATAGTACCCTGAGGGTGCCCCTCCCGCGGCGCTGAAGGGGTTAAAACCACTTCAGCTACTCACCCTTTTCCCTCGCTGGGCTCCCTTACCTCTCCTCCCCCGCCGACGTCAGCATCCTTGTCTGACGTCACCGGCGCCGAATGCGCATGCGCGGCACTGCCGAGCGCGCATTCAAAGTGTCAGTAGGAAAGCATTTTTCAATGCTTTCCTATGGACACTCTGCGTGATTGATGCATAATATGCCTCAATCATTGCCGATGTGCCTCTAGTGGCTGTCCGGAAGACAGCCACTAGAGGCTGACTTAACCCCAGATGTAAACATAGCAGTTTCCAAGAAACAGCTATGTTTACATCAGGCAGGGTTAACCCCAGAGGGACCTGGCACCCAGACCACTTCATTGAGCTTAAGTGGTCTGGGTGACTATAGTGTCCCTTTAAGCTTTACTTGTGCTGGTTACTATAGTGTCCCTTTAAAGATTCAGAAAATGAAATCACAGCCCAGCTGAGTCCAATCCAGGACAGACATTGCAATGGACTTATAGTAACAGAAACAGACAAGCATACTTGTTCAGTACACTTTTTATGACAGAAAAATCTGGAAAGTTTACAAGTAAAGAAATCCAGTAAACCAGAGCATTTATTTATAGGTAGTAAGATTCTTAAACATTATCCAGGACAATGCAACATTTAGTAGATAGCATTAATGAGGAATACATGGCATTCTGTACTGTGTATCCTAAATGCATTTGCCTTGTTTTGTTTAATGTAACAATATGTGCTCCATACAGTGAAAAACATATTTTCTTGGAAAATTAGGCAAAAAGTTACTGGAGTTGTTCTTCTTTAGAAATGCAATCAGATAGATCAGTTTAAATTTATTTGTAACTCGCAGAGTTGCAATAGTCGCAGAAGGGAAAAAAAAAAGATATAGCAAAGCCACATAAAAAAAAAAAATGTTCAGAAAAAATACATTTGGTCAAAGATTTTTCCAGTGTACTTTGGGCAGTAATTGTAGATTAGAGCTTCATTTTCTTGTGTGGTGTCTGGAAATTTATGTAGACTTTTTCTTGCTGTAAAAGAGTTGAAAATTCTAATTAGTATTGTGCAACTATTTTTTTTAATAATAAGAACAATAGGCTAAAATGCAGGTCAGTGACATAAAGATATATGTCATTCTATAGCAAGCTGATGCAAAGAACAGATCGAGCTTGCTTGAGTAGCAGAACATTTTTTTCTGCAACTGCATTCATTAAAGGGACACTATAGTCACCAGAAGAACTACAGCTTAATGTATTTGTTCTGGTGAATATAATCATTCCATTCAGGATTTTTGCAGTAAACAAAGAGAAAATGTGTTTACATTACAGCCTAGGGATACCTCCATGGGCCACTCCTCAGATGGCTACCAGAGGTGCTTCCTGGGGCAGTGCTGCAAAGCGTGCAGCAGTGGTATTCAATGTCCCCACCCTCTGCATGGAGGCACTGAGCATCTCTATGAGGAGATGCTGATTTACCAGGGTGGCATTTGGCTATGCTCCGGGCATGCCTCCTCGGCTGAGATCATCAGAATTGACAATCTCAAATTTATTGGAAAGCATTTGATTGGCAGAGCCAGCACCAACAGACTGGAATAAAGGTAAGATTTTACTATATTTAGTGTTAAAGTAGGGAAGGCAGGTGGGCTAGATAGTGTTTATATGGTCAGGAATACTTCTGTGTTTTTGAACTTTTGTTCTTTTATAAAAAGAGCTGAAATATATAATTAGAATGCCTAGGCGATGGCTTAATTATCAAGACACAAAGTTACTCAAACTTGTTGGTGGCTTAATGTGACTTTGTCATGGCAACAATATAGCATTTTGCTGATCTAGGGATGGCAGAGTTGTCTGGCCTAGCTGGACAGGGCCTGTTGGGGAGAGGCAGCTTCTTTCTTGCCCTCTGCTTTGTGACCACCCACACCCTCTTCCTAGGTATCCCCACACCCCTTGTTGCGAAGAATGAGACACTGCTAGATGAATTCCTTCAGCTTTATTACAATTTGCTGACTAATTAAATATGGTATTAATGTCCGTTATTGCTTTATACAAAATGTGCAGTTTACATTTCAATACAATATTTTCTTGACTGTATATGGTTTTGTGACTACACATTAAAATTAATATACAGATAAAAAGGTACTTTTCACTTTCAGCACCCACTAGTACAGGGGTGCCCAAAAGGTAGATCCCCGGATGTTGTAGAACTACAACTCCCAGATGCTTTACCTGCCTTTAGAATGCCAAAGCATCATGGAAGCTGTAGTTTTAAAACATCTGGGGTGTTTTGGGCACCCCTGCACTAGTACAACACTGGTTCCATAGCACTTCTGTACTACAAGAAGCAGGAGATACAACTGCCTCATAATGCTCTGAGTGTTCGTCAATCATGCCTGGACAATTCCTCTATAAAGATACATGTGCCTGCATGCATGGAACGGATTGCGTTAAGTTCATTTACATGGTGTGTAACTAGGATAACTAGGCAAGCAATTTAAATTCTAAAAAATCAGTTTAAAACAATATATAAAAAATTATATTTTTGTGCAAAAACATTATTATAAAATTAAAATGATTGGCAATTAGAAAAACAGCACTACCCACAACATATAGAAAGCTATATGACAGTTCTGCTATAAGTGTATAAATATTTAGAAAGAAAGAGAAAATATGAACATAAAAATACATTGTATATAAGTCTATTACATGCCTTACCTTCGTTAACAAAGAACTCAGCCATATAAAATGCTGCATACACCGCCTCTGCTGTGTGTGAGATTCCAGGTGCTATCTTCCACTCAAACGAAATTTTTTCAGGATGCCATTGAACTCCATAGATTGGATAATCATATGCTAAAAGAGGATTGGTTTAATAAAGAAAATGGGAAAGACAAAAAAAATAAAAAAAAAATAATTCATAAAAAATAAAAAATGTGGACACAATTTGCATAGGTAGCCCATAAATGGTCCATCTTTCAGAGGTGAGATATCTAATAGCGTCCGCAATTCGCTGCAGTAAGAAACCACTTTCAGAGCTAAGAATGAGAGGGGGATACGATCTGCATCATATATTTTGCAATACTGTAACTTTGTTACTGTGTTTAGAGTGACCCATAACATATTGGCACACTAGGCATCATAACCACTTTAGCTTTCTGAACTTTGACTGTGCAAACACTTACTCCCAATGAGCAGCACTTACTATTTCCTCCACATCAGAATTTAGCAAAAGGCATTCTGATGTGGAAAATGTACACCAGTTGCTATAGACAAGCTCTTGATGTTCTGAGGATTACAGGTAAGTAAGCTTTAACAGTTGGAACAAAAGTTGTTAATGGTTTGTCATATCATATAATTGGATTAAAACATTCAACATAGTTGAAGAGAAGTACATGAAACTCCCAGCCTTGTCAACCTTTCCTTGCAATCTTATTATTAAGTATGGATATTGAGGAAGTGAAATTATTCTATAGTCTCAGGAACGGGAGTGATCTTTGGGTTCTGTGGATCCTCACGTTTTGTCACACCGCTCAAATAGTTTGACAAAAAGGGTGCTGAACCCTAAAATTTCTTAACCACTACAGAACATTGTGAACTAATACTAATCATCCTTAGAGTGTCCCTTTAATCTACCTACAATTTTCACACTACAAGACAAACCCAGAATCTTTTATGGATCATATTCCATATTTCTGTCTTTATATATAAACAAAAACAAAATCAAATAGCCAAACAAGCATATTTAGAATGAAAATGAGTTATCCTGGAGAAGGTGTATATGAGATAGATTAGACAGATAGATTGAACAGAGGGTTCCATGTGAATAGACCCAATTCAATATACAAAGAAGCATAGCCTAACATACAGGACATTTACTTTTAAAGGGACTCTATAGTCACTAGAACAACTACAGCTTGTTGTATTTGTTCTGGTGACTATAATCATTCTCTGCATGCTTTTTACAGCAAACACTGTCTTTTTAGAGAAAAGAAAGTGTTTACATTACAGCCTAGGGACACTTTCAGTGGCCACTCCTCGGGTGGCTACCAGAGGTGCTTCCTGGGGCAGTGCTACATACTGTGCAGCACTGACATTCAGTGTCCTTATCCTCTGCATGGAGACACTGAACTTTCCTCATGGAAATGCATTGATTCAATGTATCTTTATGAGGAGATGCTTATTGAACAGGGCAGTGTTTGGCTGAGGTTGTCAGAAAAATTGAGAACCTCAGTTAATCCAATGCTTTGCTATGGGAAAGCATTGTGATTGGCTAAAATCATCACTTTTAATGATGTCAGCCAAGGAGGCAGATCAGAGACAGAGTCAGCAAACTAAAATAAAGGTAAGATTTTACTCTATTTCGGAGGCTAGATAGTGTTTTAATACTATAGGATCAGGAATACATGTTTGCCTCTTTGTTATACTTTTTACAAACTCACTGGAATAACATTCAAAGTGGGTTTGTTGTTTTGTAATTCCAATATTGTAGATTTTTACCTTTATTTTTACCTTTATCTTTCAAAAAAATATAGTATCTGCATTATTAAATGTGTACAGGCAGATTTTGAGTGCTGGGTTAACCCTTTCCCCAGTGCACTAAGTGTATACAGACTGCTGTGGATACAGTACTTTAACTCTAGGATTTTACTCTGCTGTGTGTAAAAAATATTCAATTAGCAGCTTTAGCAAAAAACAAAACAAAAAAAAGCATCAAAAAATACCTTCAAATGTAGAAATAAATTCCACTGTGCCATCGGAATTTGTTGACAAAACATTGTAGAACTCTTTCAATTTCTCATTAGCTGTAAAATTCTGCAAAGAAAACATAAAAGACATAGCCACAAATGGTAGGTCAATGGGAGTATGCCACCTTAACACATGTCAAGCTTAACTAGCAGTACTTCAAGCAACAGCAATGGAATACACAAGGACTGAAATAAAGAATAATGCTAAGCTGTACAGAAATGGGATAGTTAACCCCTTAAGGACTGAGCCAAATGCATACGTTTTAATCAAAATAAAACGGAAACAAAACTTGGAGTTTGACTATATCTCTGTTCAATCATAATTCACCTCTTTCATATTAAGTGCACCCACACTTAATATATAATTTTATTGAGAAATAGGGCTTTCATTTAACATCAAATATTTAGCTATGAAACATAATTTAATATGAATAAAATATAAAGAAATGTGAGAAATTAAGAAATATTATTTTTTTAGTTCTGCATGACATTTTAACTGTGAATGTCATATTACTGTTTGCTTTTACTGCAATAAAATACACATATTTGTATTCAGCGATATCCCACATGTAAAACAGTACCCCCCATGTTCAGGTTTTATGTTGTTTTGGGAAGTCACAGGGTCAAACATAGCATGTTACATTTTTCATTTTTTTCCCATTGAAATTCGCTAGATTGGTTACGTTGCCTTTGAGACCATATGGTAGCCCAGGAATGTGAATTACCCCCATGATGGCACACCATTTGCAATAGAAGACAACCCAAGGTATTGCAAATGGGGTATGTCCAATCTTTTTTAGTAGCCACTTAGTCATAAACACTGGCCAAAGTCAGCGTTAATATTTGTTTGTGTGTAAAAAATGCCAAAAAATTATTTGAACGCCAATGTTGGCTAGTGTTTGTGACTAAGTGGCTACTAAAAAACACTGGACATACCCCATTTGAAATACCCTAAATTGTCTACTTTCGCAAATGGTATGCCATCACAGGGGTAATTCTCATTCCTGGTCTACCATACGGTCTCAAAGGCAATGTAACCAATATTAAAATACACTTTGACAGTGTATGTATATATATATATATATATACATATATATTTATATATATAGTTGAAAGAAAAAGTATGTGAACCCTTTGGAATAATATGGATTTCTGCACAAATTGGTCATAACATGTGATCTGATCATCATCTAAGTCACAATAGACAATCACAGTCTGCTTAAACTAATAACACACAAAGAATGAAATGTTGCCATGTTTTTATTGAACACACCATGTAAACATTCACAGTGCAGGTGGAAAAAGTATGTGAACCCTTGGATTTAATAACTGGTTGAACCTCCTTTGACAGCAATAACTTCAACCAAACATTTCCTGTAGTTGCAGATCAGACGTGCACAATGGTCAGGAGTAATTCTTGACTATTCCTCTTTACAGAACTGTTTCAGTTCAGCAATATTCTGTTGTTGATTTACTTCTATGCTTTGGGTCATTGTCCTGTTGCAACACCCATCTTCTGTTGAGCTTCAGCTGGTAGACAGATGGCCTTAAGTTCTCCTGCAAAATGTCTTGATAAAATTTGGAATTAATTTTTCCTTCGATGATAGCAATCCATCCAGGCCCTGACGCAGCAAAGCAGCCCCAAACCACGATGCCTCCACCACCATACTTCACAGTTGGGATGAGGTTTTGATGTTGGTGTGCTGTGCCTTTTTTTAGCCACACATAGTGTTGTGTGTTTCTTCCAAACAACTCAACTTTGGTTTCATCTGTCCACAGAATATTTTGCCAGTACTGCTGTGGAACATCCAGGTGCTCTTGTGCAAACTGTAAACGTGCAGCAATGTTTTGTTTGGACAGCAGTGGCTTCCTCTGTGGTATCCTCCCATGAAATCCATTCTTGTTTAGTGTTTTACGTATTGTAGATTCGCTAACAGGGATGTTAGCATTTGCCAGTGACTTTTGTAAGTCTTTAGCTGACACTCTAGGATTCTTCTTCACCTCATTGAGCAGTCTGCGCTGTGCTCTTGCAGTCATCTTTACAGGACGGCCACTCCTAGGGAGAGTAGCAGCAGTGCTGAACTTTCTCCATTTATAGACAATTTGTCTTACCGTGGACTGATGAACAGCAAGGCTTTTGGAGATACTTTTATAACCCTTTCCAGTTTTATGCAAGTCAACAATTCTTAATCGTAGGTCTTCTGAGAGCTCTTTTGTGCGAGGCATCATTCACATCAGGCAATGCTTCTTGTGAAAAGCAAACCCAGAACTGGTGTGTGTTTTTTATAGGGCAGGGCAGCTGTAACCAACACCTCCAATCTCATCTCATTGATTGGACTCCAGTTGGCTGACATCTCACTCCAATTAGCTCTTGGAGATGTCATTAGTCTAGGGGTTCACATACTTTTTCCACCTGCACTGTGAATGTTTACATGGTGTGTTCAATAAAAACATGGCAACATTTCATTCTTTGTGTGTTATTAGTTTAAGCAGACTGTGATTGTCTATTGTTGTGACTTAGATGATGATCAGATCACATTTTATGACCAATTTGTGCAGAAATCCATATCATTCCAAAGGGTTCACATACTTTTTCTTGCAACTGTACATACATACATACTTAGATAATATGCATATATATATATATATATATATATATATATATATATGATCTAAATATATATTATTTTATTTTACACTGTTTTTAACCTTTATTGAACTTTTTTACAAGCAGCAGGGGGACTATCTGTCATTCCAGGCAGTCCCTCTGCTGGCACTGCTATGGACGGCTAATCCGTCTGTGTGATCGTGAGGTCCTCATAAGGACCTCGCGAACACATGGGGCCGGGAGGGCTGAATCGGCAGCATGGGGACTGCCTGGGATGCGAGCAGATAAGATCCCTTGGACGGCGGGGATGTACTATGCCGCCTGCCAGCATTTAGAGCCAGGTCCCCAAAGACGTCATAGTACGCCCGCCATCCTTAAGGGGTTAAATAAAGACTCATTAAAGAGACATTGTTTACTTACAAAGCCTTCTCATGCAGCGAGTATTATTAGTATTATTACATAATCATTTGTTTCAATCCCTTCTTGCTTCTGTATACATAATGGAATTTATTGAGTTTGTAAAATTAGGTTGTTTCCATTTGTCATATTACAGGAAACTGCAGTTTTCACAAATATGAAGACAAGAAAAAAAAAAACTACTAACAGTTTGTGGCAGACAATATTCTATTTTTTTTATCAAACCAACAATAGGTTTTCATAAGAAAAAAAAAAATCTACATCAACTATTTTAAAAGATAACATTCTATCTTCATGGAAGCATTAATACATATAGTGTATTATATATTTTATATATATTTTAAAAGGGCTGTAAAATAATCATAATTGCATTCCTAAGATCAGTGACGCAAATCAGAATTTGTTTCACAATTTTGAGTTTAGTACTGCACCAATACAACTTCAAAAGGACATTATAGTCACCTGAACAAATTCAGCTTAATTAGGTTGTTCTGGTGAGTACAGTAGATCCCTGCAGACTTTTTAATGTAAACACTGTATTTTAGAAGAAAAGGCAATGTTTACATTAAAAAGCCTAGGAACACTCTGACAGCCACTAGAGGGACTTCCTGGTTAAGTCCTGCCTGATGTGCAGTACTCATTTTTGACGTCTTCATGGTTAGCTGAAGACTTCAAACATAGTATCAGAACACTGCAGGCCCTGAGGCTGAAGGCAGAAGACAGGAGGCTGGGGACCGAGCAGGAGGATCCAGAGATCTACTGGACTTCACATAGAAGTAAACTTAGTTTACAAATAAGTGAGTTAGACAGAGAGTTAGAGAGAGTGTCAGAGAGTATCAGAGAGAGAAAGTGTCAGAGAGAGTCTGTCAGAGAGAGAGAGTGAGAGTCGGAGAAAGCGTGTCAGAGAAAGAGAGTGAGTTAGAGAAAGAGAGTTAGAGAAATAGAGTGAGTTAGAGAGAGAGAGAGTTAGAGAAAGAGAGGGTTAGAACAAGAGTTAAGAGTGATAGATAGATAGATAGATAGATAGATAGATAGATATAGATCCAGATAAATGGATATAGATAGATACAATATATATAGATATAGATATACATAGAGATAGATATATAGATAGATATTAGATATAGATAAGATATACATAGATACAGATAGATAGTAATCGCACAACGCGCACATACGCGGTAAATCGCTTAGTGTTCTCTCATAGAGCGGCATTAATTTCAATGGCGCTCTATGAAGAACCTGATTGGAGCAGTGCGAAGCCCCGCATGCGCAGTACAAAGCAATGACGCTTCTCCAAGAGAAGTGTTTGATTGAGTCCTGTTTAATCATCGGTTTGATGAAAAAGGGGGCGTGGACTGCCGAGGATTTCGGCGCTGGAACAGAGGTAAGTTTTTATTATAATAAAATTAATGTAATATTTTTTTTTTACAGAGAAAATTAATATAAAAGCAAGGAAGAAGGGACCTGTCTTTCTTGCTTTTATATTTTGACTATAGTGATCCTTTAATGCATTTGATAGATTTTGGGCTTGTTAATAGGCTGTATTTCTTTGCATTCTCAAATCTTTATAATTTTTGCACAAAAAAAAAAAAAAAAAGTAAATGTTTTGCAGAATGCTGCACCAAAAGATTTCTCAAAGGTATGCTAGTTAGATAGTCTTAGCCCCAACAGCTTTTAGTGAGCTGTTTTTAATTCACAAGCTGGGTGCAGACAGTCAGTGGAACAACAAACAGGTAGTGATATCCTAACTACCTCCCTGGGTATCCTCTTCTTCTAATGCAGGTTGTATTGTTGTTCAGATCATTCAGCACTGTCAGTGGCTGAGCTGTGTCCATACCTGTTTGATAAGGAAGTCTTTTTCTGGAGTGAGGGGGTGTGGCTATCGAGGCAGGCTTATGGTACAGCATTCTGCAAAACATTTTATTTATTTTATCCAAAAACTTTAAAGATTTGAGCGTGCAGAAAAATACAGCATATTGATAAGGCCAAAAACTATCAAATGCATAAAAGTAGTAATGGTGCCCGGAGTGCCACATTAACCCCTTAAGGACCAAACTTCTGGAATAAAAGGGAATCATGACATGTCACACATGTCATGTGTCCTTAAGGGGTTAAGCAGGGGTTTACACATTACTCACTGCTGTGCTTCTTTGGATGCCATGGGGAGAAAACGCTCTTTAAAAGAAATAGAGTAAGTTAAGGTTCAGAGTTTGACCTTCTGAGAAACTGCAATAATTACATTGAATGAATAAGACAGCCACTAAAGGCACTTGCTAACCAACTTAAGCTTGCCTAACTGACGCTGGACATCATCACACTCTGGCTTAATGCGCTCACCGAACATGCACATTAGCCCTGCCATCGGATTACATTGAAGGAGGCGGAGTGCCGATGGATATCGGTGGTGGAATCGGGTAAGTGACTAAAGGGGGGGTCAGATTTGTATTCCTTACCCTACGAATTCCTTTAAGATTCAATCAGAAATTGAGTTTGCTTTAAAAAGATATTTCCTACTTTGTTAATTGAACTTTCATTATCTCATGCTATTGACAGACCTGGAGATAAGAAATGCTAAATTAAACACGTCATGCATAAATTGTCTGTCCTCATCACCTTCTTCACTTGTCAGGCAAAGCTGCCTGCAATGTGAAGCTCGCTCCCTCCCCTTCATTTAGTTTTAGCCCTGCCTGCTATCCCTTCACTCAGTCTATTAACCTCTTCTCACCCGCTGTGCAGCCCTGTCTGCTTCCCCTTCACTCAGTCTATTAACCCCTTCTCTCCCTCGGTGCAGCTCTGACTCTATTCCCTTCCTCAGTTTAGTAACCCATTCTCTCCCTTTAAGCAGCCAACAGAGAAGGTATGGAAGAGATCGGAGAGAACTTGGCCTGGTGTGGGATTTAAAGGACCACTCTAGGCACCCAGACCACTTCAGCTTAATGAAGTGGTCTGGGTGCCTGGTCCAGCTAGGGTTAACCTATTTTTTCATAAACATAGCAGTTTCAGAGAAACTGCTATGTTTGTGAATGGGTTAAGCCTTCCCCTATTTCTTCTAGTGGCTGTCTCATTGACAGCCACTAGAGGCGCTTGCGTGCTTCTCACTGTGATTTTCACAGTGAGAGCACGCCAGCGTCCATAGGAAAGCATTATGAATGCTTTCCTATGTGACTGGCTGAATGCGTGCGCAGCTCTTGCCGCGCGTGCGCATTCAGCCGACGGGGAGGAGAAAAGGAGGATCGGAGGAGGAGAGCTCTCCGCCCAGCGCTGGAAAAAGGTAAGTTTTATCCCCTTTCCAGAGCCGGGCGAGATTGGGACCCTGAGGGTGGGGGCACCCTCAGGGCACTATAGTGCCAGGAAAACGAGTATGTTTTCCTGGCACTATAGTGGTCCTTCAAGGTAAGTGTTTTACTATTTTTAAATGTATTTATTTTTTAATTAGTGTTTTTTATTTATTTTTTTATTTAAGGGAAGGTTACAAAAAGAAAGGGGAAGTGGTTACAATCATTTACATAAAATATCACAAGGCAAACATTACACAATAAAGGTTACCTCAAATTTTCCAAATAACACAGTCCACTTAATTGTCTTATATACTATTTATCACCTTTACTATCTAAATCCAGAGCTGTCAAATATAATATCTCCAGTTCAGTTAAAAAACAGAAAACTTAATTTTAAGATAGTCGAGCTAGTTCTTTCTAGCAGTTATCCTAAGATTTAATTTACATTCTTGTAATATTGATATTAGTAAGTAAAGTAATTTCAGTATCTTAACATTAAATATTGTTCGTAGAGAAAAAAAAAATGTATTAATGTTTTTTAAAAGCATGGAGAAACAAAGTAAGAGGTGCACTAAAAAATAAATAAATAAATAAAAAAGGAGAGAAAATAAAGCAAGATTTGAAAAAGACTGGAATAAACCTTTAACTCCTAAATTACACTCTTAAACACATGCGTTGTGTTTTTAATTATTTTGAGAAATAAAGTATCCTGTCTTTCTATCCACTGCTTCCTGGGGATTCCTTACTTGGTCTGCGTGGTAGCCATAGGAGCTGGATACAGTTTACTTACCTATATATCTACGTAGCCGGAGGCTGCTATAAGTGGCTCTGGTAAATGTGAGTAGTTCTGAGTAGATCTTGCTATTAATACATTTGAATAACTATATTTCACTATGCGAGCATCCATGTTTTTGTCTCCTATATAGATCTGTTATTCCTGTATCTTACTGGCAACTCAGATCTAAGTATTTTATTGTTTATTATGTTCTAGCACTTCCCACTCTGTTTCTAATTCTTTATATATTTTATTGTTATGCCACATTCGTTGTTCAGTGGCATTGGGAATTCGTGCATTTCTCTATTAGCGCCAATCACACCTTATTTTGCTATTTTGTATATATTCTAATGTAATAAGTTCGAATGATGGGGAGGAGAGCACATTTCTAACTCAATTAATGTTAACAAGCAATTTACCTCCACAGACAAGCTCCAGGAGTGAAAGTTTGACGTTATAGGTAATTTGGAAAGATTATCATACAGATCCTTTGGAATATTTCTAAATAACTTGCTTCTTAAGGCATCTGGAAAAATACATAAAGATTAAAAGATAAACATTTGCGTTAGGTGTAAAGAGCACGTGAGCTTGACATATACATGTTTTCACACGATATCAGACAGTAGTTATTCTAAGCCAAATATGTCAAACTCAATGGACATGTTTGCGGCCTGGCGAGCCACAAGTGCATGCTAGACAAAAATAGACAGCCACTTAGACACAAACACTGGCCAAAATAGTATTTTTCACACACAAACAAATGTGAACGCTAAGTTTGGCCAGTGTTTGTAACTAAGTGACTTAATAGAAAAGACTGGACGTACCCCATTTGTAATACCTTGGGTTGTCTACTTTTGTCTACTTGGTGTGCCATCATGGGGGTAATTCTCATTCCTGGGCTACCATACAGTCTCAGAAGCAACATAACCAATCGGCAAATTTCAATGTGAAAAAAAGGAAACTCAAGCCTTATATTTTACTCAGTAACTTATAAAACACCATAAAACTCTCAAAGGCAACATAACCAGTCTGGCAAATTTCAATGTGTATAAACTGAAAAATGTAATGTGCTATATTTGACCCTGTAACTTTCCAAAACACCATAAAACCTGTACATTGGGGGTACTGTTTTACCCGTGAGACATTGCTGAATACAAATATGTGTACTTAATTGCAGTGATAGCTAACAGTATTGTGACATTCACAGTTAAAATGCCAAGCAGAATTAAAAAAATAACAACATTTATTATTTTCTCATATTTTATTACATTTTATTAATCTTAAATTATGCTTAATATACAAATATTTGATGTGACATGAAAGAAAGCCCGGTTTCTCCTGAACAAAATGATATATGATAAGTGTGGGTGCACATAATATGAAAGAGGTGAATTACGCCTGAACAGACATATAGCGCAAATTCAAGGTTTTGTTTTGATCAGAACGTGTACTATTGACTCCATCCTGAAGGGGTTAAAAATCATTAAACATGTTGTAAAATAAAATAGAAATGTATTTATATATATAATATATGTATATCTATTATATATATAATATATATACACATTATATATATGTAACGTCATACAAAGTGTATTTTGATATTAAGTCTTTTAACATAATTATGTGATCTGATTAATTAAAATTTGATTGACATGCCTGACAGGGAGAAAGTGCAGTGAATTTAATTCACAAGCACTATATTTGACCCTTTAACTCTCCAAGACACCATAAAACCTGTACATAGGGGGTACTGTTTTACTCGGGAGACGTAGCTGAACTCAAATATTATCAAATATTATCACAAACACTGGCCAAATATTAGTTTTTTGCTTTTTTCACACAAAAACAAATATGAACGCTAACTTTGGCCAGTGTTTGTGACTAAGTGGCTACTAAAAAAGACTAAACATACCCCACTTTCAGTACCTTGGGTTGCCTACTTTTTCAAATGGTATGCCATTATGGGGGTAATCTCATTCCTGGGCTACCACACCGTCTCAAAGGTAACATTACTAATCTGGCAAATTTTAATTTGAAAATGGAACGTTCTATATTTGACCCTGTAACTTTCCGAAACACCATAAAACCTGTTAATGGGGGGTACTGTTGTACTCGTGAGACATCGCTGATTACAAATATGTGCATTTTTTTACCTAACAGTATTATGACATTAACAGCTAAAATGTCAGACGGAAATACAAATTAAAAAAAATAATTTTTATTTTCTCAAATTTTTTTAAATTTAAATGACTCCGTCCTGAAGAGGTTAAAGGGGTTAAAATGGTGGGGATATTAGGGCACTCCTGGCACTATAAGTGTAAAAACCAGGAAGCACACTACAGTTACTGAGGTTATAATTTATTATAATACTTTATTTATATATATGAAGATAAACATGCAATAAGTACAAAACAAAAGACACCGTGAACTAATAAATACAACAAAGCAATACGGTAAAAGTGTATTTTAGCATATTTTATTATTTGCCATTTTGTTCAGGTGTGATTAAGTGGCACAATAAGCAAAATAACTAAATCCAGATAATAAAATACACTAAAATACACTTTTACCCCCACATTCTAGGTAAGACAATTACTATATGAGTTATTTTGCTTAAATCACACCTGAACGAAATGGCAAATAGTAAAATACCAGGGCACACAATCACTAAACCCCTAATGTTTCGGCACAAAACTTGATGCCTTTTTTCAAGGGTATCTGTATCACCCCTTACCTGGACATGTATGTATACTCCTTCACACAGCTGATTACCATTAGCATAAAATGTTGAACTTCTGAACTATAACCACTTCAAAGTGCTCCTTTAAAACACAAATTATGTAGTATATTTTTTATCAACACTGACCAATGTCTAATTTCCCATATCTACATCTTTAAATATGTATTACATATGCATAATTTGGTTTAAAAATGAAGACACTCCTATTCAGATATCTATGTAAGAACATTTAGTAGAAATGTCTATACACACCTTGACTGAAGTTCAGAGGTAATGAAACATCTTCTGTCTCAGTCAACGTTAGTAACAGTTCCCCACTTGTAAGATAAGTTAGTTCTTCAAATCCCAGACATGTTCCCCAAATCGGAAAATAGTCACCGTTGTCATTAGCCTGGAGCAAAAGGAGTATGTTACAAAGGAAATGTTGCTATTTGTGAAGCAAATTATACTCTGAAATTTCCGAGACCGTAGAGGTAACAAAGCCTATAAACCAACACTATACAATTTCATGCACAAAAAAATTAAAGGGACACTCCAGGCACCCAGACTACTTCTGCCCATTGGAGTGGTCTGGGTGCCAACTCCCACCACCCTTAATCCTGCAAGTGTAATTATTCCAGTTTTTATAAACTGCAATAGTTACCTTGTAGGGTTAAGTCCTCCTCTATTGGCTGTCTATTAGACAGCCACTAGAGGGTCTTCTGTGTTCTTAGAACACGATAAGTGTTTTAAACTACGCTGGACGTCCTCACGCTATGCATGAAGACCTCAAGCGTCGCCGGAATCCCCACAGGAAAGCATTGAAATGCCAAGAAGAATAATGCTTTCCTATGGGGAGGTTTAAAGCACGCACGGTCATTGCCACGCATGCGCATTAGGTCTCCCCCACCGGCTGACGTCTGCGGGGGAGGAGCATGGGCGGAGCCTGACCCAGTGCCGAGGGACATCAGTGCTGGATTCAGGTAAGTCACTGAAGGGACACTGCAGGGAGAGGGAAGGGGCACTGCAGGGTCCTGCAGTGCCAGGAAAACGGATATGTTTTCCTGGCACTGGAGAGTCCCTTTAAGTGCAGCGTACAACTTATAATATTGACATTTTTTTATAATAATATGACATAGTTCCATTTTATAGTGCTGAAAATGCTGCACTTATCTTTGTTTTAAGTCATCATCTCATACAGGATGCATGTGATCTTCAATAAGTATATTTTTTTATTTTATTCATATGTTGATTATTCCTACAGTAAAATGTATAAACTGTACATTTGCCTACCTGAAACATTGGAATCTATTACATAACTAGCTCTCAGTACCCTTCCTGGATCACATTTATAAATTGATATGGCATACGCGCAATTAAACAATCTAATTTTCCTGTCCACCCGCATCTGCCACGCCTTCCCCCTTTGTCAGTCCCTACTTTGGCTACCCGTAAGATATAGGACTCAATTTAACCCCTTAAGGACACAACTTCTGGAATAAAAGGGAATCATGATGGAATATTTCCGTCATGTGTCCTTAAGGGGTTAAGATCCTGATACTTGCTTACAAATCTCTACAAAATGCTGCTCCTCACTAATACACAAATATGTCTCATCTAGGCCCCTACGCTCTGCCAGAGACCTATGTCTAACCTCTCTTCGTACTCCTACCTCTGATGCTCACCTTAAAGACTTCTCTAGGGCTGCACCGTTCCTATGGAAAGCCCTTCCCCTCTCTGTTAGACTTTCACCCAATTTCCACTCCTTAAAAAATTATTTGAAAACTTACTTCTTTAGGAAAGCATATCAATTAAACTGTGAACAGCTTTCTCTCCCAGCACTCTAAATGAAAACTCTCCTGAAACTGTCATCAAAACAAAACACTAAACCCTCAATGAACACTATCCTAGCAACCTACATTTCTACCCTACCCTTACCTTTTGTGTCACTATACCCCACTCCCTCTAGCATGTAAGCTCATTGAGCAAGGCCCTCAATCCCTTTGTTCCTGTGTGTCCAACTTATCTGGTTGCAAATACGTGTCTGTTAGTCCACCCATTGTACAGTGCTACAGAACTTGTTGGTGCTTTATAAATAATAATAATTTGAGACAGTGTTACACAGAATGAGTCATTTTTCAGTAAGAAGGTACCTTTAGAGCCAAGTCATAAAATATCTTGGCTGCTTTAGCATATCCTGAGTGTCTAAGATCAACAATACCACCTGGAAGGAGAATCCTAAAATGTAAGAAATTTAAACTTAACAGTATTGCAGAGAACGTATAACAGAATTGCAAACCTTAGTCCACAAGAAAAACATCAAATTCAGCTGGCTTTGCAAATCAACTATTTGTCAACATTTCTCAATTTTGGTTTTATCCCCCTCCTTCACCCCAAAATGAATTGATTAGTGAGTAAACCCCAAAATGTGTTATGCATTAAAGGAACACTATAGTCACCTAAATTACTTTAGCTAAATAAAGCAGTTTTAGTGTATAGATCATTCCCCTGCAATTTCACTGCTCAATTCACTGTCACTTAGGAGTTAAATCACTTTGTTTCTGTTTATGCAGCCCTAGCCACACCTCTCCTGGCTATGATTGACAGAGCCTGCATGACAAAAAAAACTGGTTTCACTTTCAAACAGATGTAATTTACCTTAAATAATTGTATCTCAATCTCTAAATCGAACTTTAATCAAATACAGGAGGCTCTTGCAGGGTCTAGCAAGCTATTAACATAGCAGGGGATAAGAAGATCTTAATTAAACAGAACTTGCAATAAAGAAAGCCTAAATAGGGCTCTCTTTACAGGAAGTGTTTATGGAAGGCTGTGCAAGTCACATGCAGGGAGGTGTGACTAGGGTTCATAAACAAAGGGATTTAACTCCTAAATGGCAGAGGATTGAGCAGTGAGGCTGCAGGGGCATGTTCTATACACCAAAACTGCTTCATTAAGCTAAAGTTGTTCAGGTAACTATAGTGTCCCTTTAACCAGTAAAGCAGCCAATTTGAGTGTAACTACATTTCTACTCTTTAGATACATTGATATTCCCAAATTCAGTTACTGAATGAAAGATCTGTCACTTCTAGAGAGCTCTTACCCTCTCCCTATTGTGTGTGTTGTGTATACGGCACTGCAGGATCTAATTTGCATCCTTTGCCTTGTGTTACCTGGCAAATCATGAATATTACATTAAATTTAAATATGTTTTTTGTTTTTTTTAATAAGCACACCAACAACTAACTTTTAGCTAGTGATTTGTATGTGTTAAAATCAGGAAAGTGACAGTTCCTCTTTTGGACATTTAAAATTCAAGAAATCTGGGAAACATATAAAGTTTCTCAAACACTGGTGTGCACATTGGCTGTGCTCAGTGGTTTAGGCAAAAAAAAAAAATCAGTACAAATAGGCAGATTTGGTAAAAAATATCCAGTTTAGTTATTGTCACAGCTTAACTGTTGTTGCCTTAATTTGCAAATCAGTTTTCAATTCACTATAGCTTGCGGTTTTGTGAATAAGCCTTTATAAGCTACGACTAAGAAATCTGCATTATCTACTACTTGTGCACAAAATATCTTTCAACTGTGCCAAATAATTAGTCACCAGATAAATAGACATTTGATTCGGAGCAGCTAAAAGGGATTTGTGCACGTTTGTTATCTACTGGACTCTAAATTTGCAGTAATGGCATACCATCTGCCAATGACAGTAACCAGGGTTATTCCCATAGGCACATTAAGAATTTTCGTGTACCTATTTCATTGCCAAAGACAGCGGTAATATTTGAGTTACATTAGAAAAATCATTCCATTTTTTTTTTTTTTTTTTAAACAGAGAATGTAACCTACTGTACCCCTGTTCAGTCAAATCTGCATATGTACCATCCTACAATTTTGGGAGAACTGTGAGCTGAAGAGGTGGGTTTCTAGCTCATCAATTTAAGTAAAACACTACAGCTACAATAACCAGAAGGAAACGAGTCGTTATTGTGCTTGGAGTGTTTCTTTAATCCATACATTTGCCATTATTTAGGAGGAATACTGTAACTCCACTGTGTGAGTACAATTTAGTTTGCACAAAGCGAATGCCTTTAATGATGTGCGCAGGGAATTTAAAGCAAAGGGCACCCGGTGTGGAGAGAGTGTACTTAAGAAGTGTTGCTTACACACTTAATCCCAAAAACAGAACATAACACTGAAATAACCAAAAAAAGAAGAAAGAGGTGAACAGACATCAAAGTGGTGGATGTTCACAACACAGGATAAGGGACACCAACTAAAAACTAAAAATACTTTATTTATAAACACTTAAAAAGCCTTCGAAACACTGGCCTCCAAAAGGAAAGTGAAAAAACAGAAACAGTGATATCAAAAAGAAGGTAGCTAAGCCTATTATAGAGGATGCCAAGGGTAAAAAAGTTAGCGTGAGGAGACCTAAACTGAGGGCTTAGATGTCTACTCTAGGAAAGTACTTTGAAGGCATTAAAGTAGTTATTAATAAAGAATCTTTCATTTTTAATTGATGTCCCTTATCCTACTTTTGAACATCCACCACTTTGGTGTCTGTTTGCAGCTCTACTTATAAGGGAATTTGTCTTTGGTTTCACCAGAAGTGGGATGTCAGGAAACAAACCCAAGATGGGGGTCAGGAACCCAAACTTGGCATTGTCCCTCTGAATCCAGGACTGTTGTGAAGTATGCATTACATATAGATGAAGGAGAATTAACACATTTTGTTAACAGTTTAATTTAACTTCTAATGAAAAACATAACATCCAAACTACTTCATTGTTTCATAGCACATACACTGATCAGCCACCACATTAAAACCACCTGCCTATTATCATGTAGATTCCCCTTGTGCTGCCAAAACAGCTCTGATGCATTGAGGCATGGACTCCAGAAGAGCACAAGATTTATTGTTACAGTACCAACAGATGCTCAATTGGATTACGATCTGGGGAATTTGGAGCCCAAGGCAGTACCTTGAACACTTTGTCATGTTCCTCATACCATTCCTGAACACATTTTTGCAGTGTGGCAGAGTGCATTATCCTGCTAAAAGAGGCCACTGCCATCACGGAAAACCCATTGCCATGTATGGGTGTACGTGGTCTGCAACAACCTCTAGGTAGGTGGTATGTGTCAAAGTAACATCCACACGAATGCCAGGACCCAAGGTTTGAGAGCCGAACAAATCACAGATCATAACACTTCCTCCTTCCCATAGTGCATACTTCTACCATCTCTTCCCCTGGCAAACAACACACATGCACCTACCCATCCACCCGATCTAAAAGAAAATGTGACTAGGTAACCTTCCATCACTCCATGGTCCAGTTTTAACTCTTATGTCCCCATTGAATGCACTTTCAATGGTGGACAGGGGTCATCATGGACACACCAATCTGCGGCTACAAACGCTTAATCCAGTAAACTGTGATGCACTGTGTATTCTGATACCTTTCTATCATAGCCAGCATTTTAAGCTACAGTAGCTATTCTGTGTGATCGGACCAGATGGGCTAGTCTTCCCTCTCCACATGCATCAATGAGCCTTGGGCGCCCATGACCCTGACAGCAGTTCACCGATTGTCCTTCCTTGAATCAGTTTTGGTGGTCATTGCATACCAGGAGCACATCACAAGACTTGCCGTTTTAGAGATGCTTATATATCCAAACCCTTAACAGGTACCATTGTAATGATATAATCAATGTTATTCACTACACCTGTCAGTGGTTTTAATGTTGTGGCTGATAGTGTATTGTAATATGCGAAACACAACTTTTGTCAATACCTACCCATTAATGGAATTGAATATCTTCACATATTCTTCCTCAGGAAGATTGATCCTTTAAAAAATAAAAATAAAAATAGCATAAAAGATGTAGTAAATGAGATTGTACAGTTGCCAACATTACACTTACTGAAACAACATTGCCATATTGGTGAATTGAACAGGAACCAGAAAATTAAGATGAAGACGTTACGTTGCCTAGAGCATACTTTTAAGTGCTAAAACTGTTTATAGAATGGATAGACAAAATGTCTACTGGTCTTGTAGAACTACAACGCCCATGGTGCTTTGCCTGTCTTATAGTTGACAAAACTTAATGAGAGTTGTAGCTCTATGATAGCTGCTGTACAACTAATACTAACAGTGTTAAAGAAACTCCAAGCACCATAACCACTAAATCACATGTGGAATAAATGTTTAAAAAAAGTAATTTTGAAAGAATAATTATATGTAATTCTGAAATGTACTGTCGTCGGTCACATATATCACAAACAGTTCTGACATGTATGGTTGCTTACATATTTCAGTGTGCTAGAAAATGTCTGCTATAAACGATCACGTTTGCACAATTCTCCTAAAATGTCATAATGATAATATATAAATAGAGAAACATATATACATAATAAAGACGCTGGTTATTTTCACCTACTATGTTAATGCACTATTAACCCTTCCCTAAGACTAATTCAGAAGCCATTTACCATTAAAATACTAAGTATGCAGGACTTCAAGTCTACGTGATGACATAGCAAGCCGGAAGGCTACGGCAAGCCGGATGAGGCAGGGTAGCATCTTGCAGCACGAGTGGATCCAGCAAGTAAGACCATGATTGTGGCACTACGGGTGGCAGCATGCAGGTAATACCTTCCATCGGCACTGAAAAACTGGAGAGCTGCCACATCAGTTTATCTCTCACTCATGAGGGTTCCAAGATGGTCCCGAGCGGAGCTCTTAAGTGAGGAGATCGGAGGAGATGTACTGCATAAATATCTGGTGCTCAGAACTAATTCACTTGAAAATGCCTTCCCTTTGAAGTCTGGAAGCAAGACACTCCTGAGTTGCAAAAACTACTTTATTTAAGCTTTTTAATGAGTTAATAAAGCTACTTTATATAATTTGAGGAATAAGTTCCGAACAAGAAAGTTTAATATAATAGATTTATAGACGGTTTATTCTATGCTATAAGTCCACCCTTCTGTGGAGATTTGTCAGTGACTGACGGGGGAAACCAGACAGGGGTAATTGGAAAAAGGAAGACACAATATATATAAAAGGAATAAAAAGAGAAAGAAGAAGAAAGAAAATAGAGAAAAGGAAAAAGAAAAAAGGAAAAGAGGAAGAGGAACAATGAAGGGAAAACAATTTGAAAAAAAAGGAGATTGCAGTTTTCCCAAAGGAAAGAGAGAAAATTCATCTAAATTGCTGCCATTCCCAAAAAGAAAAGGCTATTCAGAGAAAAAGGGAAAAGGGTGAAGGGAAAAAGCTAACATATTAATTCAGTGGCAAGGAAAAAAGGAAAAACAATATATAATAAAATAGGCCCCCACCCCTTAGAATGTATATATAATTAGTTTATTTTTACTTTTTGGGATAATTTAAAAGTAAAAGGAGGAATAAAAAGGGAAAAATGTCAAGCGGAAAAGAAAAAAAAAGGCACAAATAAAGTTTTATACATATCTGATCCATGATGGTACAGAAACTCAAAACACCAAGCAAAGAAGTGACAGCAGCTCACCAAGCTATCTGACACAACAAGATTAAGATCAAGAAATAGGGTCTAGTCTATCTGCAATGGCATTATTGGAATCTGAAATATTTATTAATAAAATTATATTATTAATGCAAGAATTGAGAAAAGACTTACACACTGACATAACACAATTTACCGAGGAAAATTCTCTAAATGGCACGGAGGGGGGTGGAGCAATGACGTAGGGTAGACGCTGCCACCTACACTCGAGGGGATGATGTGGACTGACCTCTCAATACAACACTGACCGCCTCTATACCCTCGGTTCTCAGACTGCATATTGTGACCAGCGCAAATCAGCTTTCTGATCTGTCGCCTCCTGTTTTTCATTCACTTGATTTTCCCCCATCGCCCTCCATAAAAAGATTTACTGCAAGAAGTTCCAGTGGTGATACCTGTGTATCAAGGAATAGAAAAGATACAACGGAATCCCACTATACTTGATTCATTTCAAGTTGGTGAGAACCCTAATTTTGCATTATCATTTGTAATTGTATTTGCATATCAAACTGAAACATATTAGCAGCTATGGTGCCAAATTTAGAGGATTAATTTATTTTGATTCCAATATCAAACCAACAAGTAGCCATTTAGTTTATATGTGACCTATATAATCAGATCACAGAAGCTGCTTAATTGAATCTAACTGAATCAAATTAAATTAATTTTTTTTTGCCTTTTGGCCACGGTAATATACACTGAACAAAATTATAAACACAACACTTTTGTTTTTGCCCCCATTTTTCATGAGCTGAACTCAAAGATCTAAGACTTTTCCTATGTACACAAAAGGCCTATTTCTCTCAAATATTGTTCACAAATCTGCCTAAGTCTGTGTTAGTGAGCACTCCTCCTTTGCCAAGATAATCCATTCATCATACAGGTGTGGCAAATCAGGATGCTGATTAGACCCATGATTATTGCACAGGTGTGCCTTAGGCTGGACACAATAAAAGGCCTTCTTTTCATAACTCAAGCAAAAAAATAAATAAATAATGGGATTAACCTTTATTTCCTCCTATATTTCCCTATTTCTGCCCCCTGCCTCTACTCCATCCCTGTCTTAATTATCCCTATCATAACCCTAATAAACTCACTTACTTATCTAATGTCCCTTATCTTTATTTGTAGAGAGAGAGCCCTTTCGTCTCTTTGATCAAACTACTATCGTCATCTATATTGTTATACGCCCGATTAACCCATCTGATCCTGTCTTATTACCACCACATTACATATACTATTCAACTTTTTATCCACTTCCCTGTTCTATTCCGTTTTTCTAGATGAGAGACCCTTTGACGTTTTTAAGAAAAATTCGAATTTATCTATCCAGTTGTCCCAATATTCTATTTGTGTATAACGTTTTTTTAAAATGTGCAGTAGATAAGTTGGCGCAAAAAATTAAGATAAAATATAAATAGGTTTCCAGCACCCACAATATACCCAGGTAATAAGGTACAGAAACAATCACAAAACAGAAAAGTGCTGGTGCGCATACATATGTATAGAACCCCTCAAGTGTTGAGAAGTATTTGCAAACAGATGATACAGTGCAAGCAAGTGTGATCCCTTATAGGGGGTCTACAAGCCCAAGTGTATATGTGTGTATACGTATAGCCTGTTACACTGTACAGTTGGTATCTGTAGTTAAGGAGACAAAAGTAGGGGGGAGGGAACAGAGAAAGCACTCCTAGTGCAATACAATTATTAAAATTTAAACTAAGATAAACTGTCTCTTTAAGAATGCAACTCACAAATGTAGAGTGGTATGAGCCCCGCTCTAAGCTATCTCACCCAGGGAGGATCAGCCCCTTGGGTACGTGGGATCTGATAATTGCTCCTGCAACATCAGTGTCAGGCAAAAAACATTTATTAAAAATAAAAACAACTGATAGTCAAATAGTAAAAAGCACTGCAGTTTACCACACCATGGGGAGTTTGATAACAGTTCAGTGTAATCTCTCCTTCTGGGGCCGGTCCTACTGGCTGGTGTGTGTATTCAGTTCACTTCCTTGTATCCTGATCACCAGGTCATGTGACGCGTTTCGCCCCGTCTCTTGGGGCTTTCTCAAACATGCTCGTGATCGTGCAATTAAGGGGGATCATTCTCCATGAATAGAGCCATTTTGGTAAGATATAGGCCCTTCGTTTATTGATTCTGCCCGACCACGAGAATCCCAACCCCGTAGGTTTTTATTAGTTTGTTTTAATAAGGGTAAGAAATTAGCTTCTATTAACTTTTTTACCTCTGATGTAATAGTTATTCCCAAGTATTTTTAAACATTTTTTATCGTTTGGGAGTCCATAATTTTTTATAAGATTATTAACTGATCTCTTACACATGTTCTTAGCTATGACTTCTGATTTATCTAAATTTATTTTATAACCGGATACTCTAGAGTAGCTATTTATCTCCTTTAACATTATAAGTATCTGGCTCTTCAAGTATCAGTAATACATCATCCGCATAAATATTTAGTTTAATCTGCTCTAGCGGGTATCTATAGCCTATAATTTTTAGATTTTGTCTTATAGAAATGGCTAAAGGTTCTAACACTAATATATATAACAATGGCGATAGAGGGCATCCCTGTCTTGTCCCATTTTTGATGTTAAAAATTTGAGAGGTAAATCCAGATCCCATGTGCCTGTGGAGAGCCATAGAGAGCAGAAACCGCTTTTAGAATTGGGCCTGTAAATCCAAATTGTTTCAATGTGGCTGACATAAAGGCCCAACCTACCCTATCAAACGCCTTCTCTGCGTCTATTGATATGAGCAACGGGTTCCCCTTAGTCTCTATTGCCTCCAAAATGTCTATTACTTTCTGGATATTGTTAACTGACGACCAACCTGGAATAAAACCAACTTGGTCTTTGTCAATAAGATCTGGTATGACAACTTTCAGTCGACGAGAATATTTTGATGTATGTGTTTATCAATGAAATCGGTCTAAAATTACTTATCAGTTCTGGATCTTTATCTGGTTTTGGAATTGGAACGATATTTGTTCTCAATAACTCTCCAGGGCATCTTCCTGTATTTATCATATAATTAAAAACATTCACCAGTTCTTATTTTAATTGATCTTTTATAATTTTTTAACATTTATTTGAAAAGCCATCTGGGCCTGGGGCAGATCTTTAAGTTTATCTGTTGCTTTAATAACTTCTGTTTCTGATATGGGTTGGTTTATTACTTCTATTTCGTCTGGTAGAATTTTGAGAATTTTTATATTTTCAAAGAATTTTTTGATTTCTTCAATTACCAAAATAATCATGTGGTAGACTACATAGATCTCTATAAAAAATGTAAATGTTCCACCTATTTGTTATGGGGCCATTATGTATGTATCTTTATCCCTAATTCTAGATATCACTTTTATTTTTTTTCCTTTTTCAACTTACTAGTCATAAGCGCTTCAGGTTTATTGCCTTTTTGATACCATTTAGATTGAAAAAAATCTAGTTTTTGCTATTTTATTGGATAACTGTACATTTATGTTCTGTTCTATTTCTAATTTTCTTTGCTATTTCTGTAGAAGGTGTTATTTTATTTTGTTTCTTATATTCAATGAGCTTCTTTCTTTTTAATTCTAGCTGCCATCCCCATCAAGTGGCCTCTAATTACGCTTTTGTAAGCGCACCATACCACAGTATCTGATGTCCCCTTATTTTTATTTTCAAAAAAAAAAAGTTTTTTTTTATTTGTTCAATATTATAATTTTTATATAATATTTAATCGTTCAATTGCCAGTCTTTATCAAAAGCGTCTTTGTAATCCAATATGATTGGGTTATGGTCTGACCATGTTATATCCTGTATTACAATCTTTTTAACAAGGTACATCATGGCCACATCCCCCAAAAGAAGGTCGATTCTGGAGTAGGAATTGAATGTTTTTGAATAGCATGTGAAGTCCAACTCCAAGGGATGAAACATTCTCCATATGTCCCTCACTTTATATTGGTCTATCAAAGTTTGTAGTCTATTTGAAGATCCTTTATTGATATTTTCTCCATTATAGTTCTTCCTGTCTTTAAAAGGGTCTATTACACAGTTGAAATGTGCTGCATCTTTCCTAGCTTAATCTTTATTATTATGTTCAGAAAAACAGTCAGTAGTATGGGTAGATATAGAAGATTCATACTTGAGTAGTGGCAGGGTGTCTCAACTTCTCTGGTCTCTATATAAATTGCTAATGGCAAACACACCACGGACAACTATCTATAGCTTGAAAACATGGGCAAAATTGCAGCAGAAGCTATTGTTGCTCCAACCACTATCACGATATGCTCCATTAAGAATATTAGAGACGATTATTTCTGTCACAAGTTTGGGGTGTATGGGCTCAGTATTCTGAGATTTGGACAGACACAGTCTTTAAATTCAAGGTCTTTATTATAAGGCAAGTAAATATAATTTAAAAAGTCCCAATGCAAAACAGAAGCAGAAAATAAGGCAGTATCGTTGTAAGAAAAAAGTCCTTAATTGAAAAGTAAAGTAAAAAAGTGTTGACACTAGATGAATGATGTGAGGGCTTGATCAAAGTTAAAGCAGGTTTTGCAGGGGTTAACAAGACATGAGCAGTTTTTGCAGGAGGGTTAACAAGACAGCAGGATTGCTGGCGTTAACCAGTTCTGGAACTGGATTACAGGGAGCTGCTAGCTGGACTCTCTGTGCAGAGCTGCTCCCCTGCGGATCAGTGAGTAGAGAGAGGCAGGGAGGGAGATGCTGTAACTTTCTATCCCTGTCTCTCTCCACACACACAGCGCCACCTACTGGCCGGCGCCAGTATCACATCTAGGTTCAGGCACTCCAAGGTTCAGAACAATTTATTGAAACCCAGCTCCACACCACAACGTTTCAACCTACCCGGTCTTTGTCAAGCTGAACAATGACTGTGTAGGTAAAAACGTTGTGGTGTAACATTGAGTTTCAATAAATTGCCTGAAGCTATTTGTACTTTCTGCATATTGTATCTGGTACCTGGTGCTTAGTCCTGGTTCAGTTGCACCCTGGCTCAGAGTGATGGAAGTGAGTGCAGTTCCTTATTTATTTTTGGAAAGGAAAATACTATACGACATGATTGAATCTAAAATACATTTTCAGATCCCCTTCTTTATGGAAGTGGCGATCCTGAACAACTATCCAACTACAATACGCTTACATGAAAAAAAAAAAAAAAAATTTTTATGTAAGCGTATTGTAGCTGTACAGGCTCCACAGCCAAATCCATCGACTTGGTAGCAAGCATCAGCATTACAGGAATACTCCAAGTACCATAATCACTGCAGCCTACAGTGAACTGGAAGGTCAGATGTAGTGTGTGAATGTGAGGAGTAGGCTTGCAGACCCCAGGTAAAAGTCAAAACACTCTAAAATGATTTGGGTATGCGACAGAGCTCCAGTACTCCGATCAAGTACCTCCAGCTTATCCGCTTCCTAGCCGCTTGCAGGGACTATGGAACGCTTCCGCCCCAGTCACCGACGGTTGACTGTGGTCCTTCTGTAGCGTTTCCACCCAAAAGGCAAGTATCGTCCCCTCTACCTATTCCTCTGCAGCTTTCCTTCCAGGCTGGTTTCGTCCCCTCTGCCTATTCATCTGCAGCTCTGTTTACAGTGATTGCTATTGCCTTTACAAAGGCACTTGCGGCTTTCAGGCCTAGCTCTCTTGATTTATCCCAGGGCTACAGGGATCGTGCAGCCAGCCAACAGGTCCGAACACTCTGTCACTGGGATCCCTAAAAATCCACACAGGACACAAGTTCCACAAGGAACTAACATATGCTCGTTACATCAACTCAATAAAATACAATTAACCAAATCATATAAAAAAAAAAATACAACATAACAGCCAAACCCACCAACTTGGTAGCAATCCTCAGCAGGACAGGAGAGCATACAAAACATACAACAACAAAACAACAATACACACCCTGCACCTATAATGGGTACAGGGTAACTAAAACATAATAGTCCAGTGACTTACATAAACAGCCTGTCTGAAGCTCCAGGTGATGGTGACTACCGTCACAGAGTACTTTACAAAGGCACTCTTGGCACTATAATACTACAGTGCACTGTAATAAGTATTCCATTTGGAGTGTTCCTTTAACATGGCTCTGTCACCTCCAGGGGTCTTTAAATATTTTTCAAAGACCCCGGGTGCTGAAGTAGTCCCTACTTTGTCTCACAATATCTTTATAATAGGTTGTAATGTCAATGTTTTTATAAGCATTTCATAATGATTTTATCTTTATAAAAAAAAAAAATTTTTGTTCTTTTGGAGAGGAGTGAAAAAAGATCCCAACTGCATAGAGTTGGAGATCTGCGCATGACCCTTACTTGACCGATTTAGAGATTTGCACATATATCTGCATGTCATTTCCTAACACACCACAACTCACTGTCTACTTGATCACAAAACCTACATTATAGGGATTACTCTTGCTCCTGCAGATTCAATGCTTTTCACGTAAGAGGCAGCAATGTACGATGAGCCATGCAATTCCCACTCTTCAAAAATTGTCTCCTGCGTCAATATTCCTGAAATGGCAAGACACAATCAACATATGGCCATTAGACAAATGTTAAAAGTAAAACACAAATGAATTCTGTAAATCATGTTCTTACCCATATTGTATATAATTTATTCAACATGTGCTTTATTATGAAATATTTTACTACATTAAATCGAAACCCCAATGTGACAGTCTCCTTCACATGTTTTCTCCTACAGATTATATTCAGTCCACTTCAACCTACAGTCTGAAATCTCACCCAACCAATAGCTTCACATAAATGGAGAAAATAATTAGCATACAAACCACTGCATGATATCTACATGCTTTGGAATGCATCACAGAAGAATGAGCCGAAGAATCACATTGATGAACCATTCAGCCACATGTTGCTTCTCATTCATGGAAACAATAAACATAATAAAGAAGACCGAACTGTGCAAGTGAATGCAAGCCTCTAACAGCGTCCATGATTTTTTCAAAAAAAATGTTTAAACAAACACTGTGCAGATGTTAATGGGAACATATGCAGCTAGTCAGAATTTAGAAAAGGTTTGAACAACCTTACTTGGAGGTAAGAAAGATAAAGGGCTTGAGTTAGGACCCATATTTAAAAGGAGCAGTATGGGTCTTAAACCATTCATCCCTAATCATGCAATATAGCCCCCTCAAAAAAACTATTTTCTTGGATGACACGCCGCCAGATGAATGGTTGTGGTTATGGTGCCTTTTGTGTCCCTTTCCCTTATCTGCAATAACACCTCTGTAAAAGGCAAGAATGTCTATGTAATACAATTTAAGATGTGAAATTAAATTCTGGATCGCTGTAATAGGACTAACAATTCACTAATATTTTTATTATTATTATATTATTTAACAGCTTGTGTTGTGTCTTTTCTACCAACCTGCCCTGAATAAATTAAAATTTATATTATCAAAATAAGAATTCTGACAAGCATTTAGATACAAAAGAAAGTAGCTACTTATGCCAAGTCCTGTAATTCATAGAAAAATAAAACATGTCCTTAATGATTTATTAAGTTAATTTCTGCTGATTTGTGTCTATATCATGTGTATAAACACCTCAACGTGAGAATATGGGGCCCAGAACCTGCTGTACATGCCTGTCTGCCCAGAGTTAGTCACCTTATGTTCTCGCAATGAGAAGCACCAGATTACCAGGAGATCTTGGGGAGCATAACTGCGGCAAATGACAATCTTACGCTGGATTAGTATTATAAATGTCACAATGGGACAATGGGAGAGGGAGAACACTATGGGACAATGGGAAGGGGGGAGAACACTATGGGACGAGGGGGGAGAACACTATGGGACAATGGGAAGGGGGGAGAACACTATGGGACAAGGGGAAGGGGGAGAACACTATGGGACAATGGGAGAGGGAGAACACTATGGGACAATGGGAAGGGGGGAGAACACTATGGGACAAGGGGAGGGGGGAGAACACTATGGGACAATGGGAAGGGGGGAGAACACTATGGGACAAGGGGAGGGGGGAGAACACTATGGGAGGGGGTTAAAGATCATTATGGGACAGTGGAGGGGGGTTAAAGATCACTATGGGACAGGACAGGGGAGTGGGTGGTAAGGAACACTATGGGACAGGGGAGAGGGGTGTTAAGAAACACTTTGGGACAGTTTATTCAGAAATTTTTTTTCTGGGTTTCCTCCTGTAAAAACTAGGTGCGTCTTATGGTGTGGTGCATCTTATAGAGCGAAAAATAAGGTATATGCTTTTTAGATTCTGAAACTTAGGCTATTCATTGTTGAGGACTAATTATTTATTCTATCAACCTTCCCAATTCCTAGTTAAATGAATAATTAAGAAGGCAGCATTATAGTCAAATTTTAAAAACATGACCTCCTGATCTGGATATATTCCAGAATGCAATGAAGATATGCTTCAAGGGAGGAACCATAACAACTTAATCAGAAACGGTTTAACCTCGAAGTCTTGAATGCGGAGCCCGTTAGCTCTTCCCATTAACATCCCCTACAGTCAGGGTTTAAAACACAAAGTCTCGAATAAGGGCACCATTGATTGGCTGAGTAGCTCTTCATTTACAAAACAGAGTGAGAAATGTACGTATTTCTTTAAATCACATGGTTGTTGATATCGGGGTGCCCAAAAGGTAGATCCCCAGATGTTTTAAAACTATAACTTCCCCAATGTTTTGTCATTCTAAAGGCATGCAAAGCATCATGTGAGTTATAGTTCTACAACATCTGGGGATCTACCTTTTGGGCACCCCTGATATATGGCATCTCAAATTGGACTGCTCCTTTTAATCACATTGCAGTTGATATTATGGCATTACAAATCTTAAAAACATGTTTCTTAAACATTATCCTTCCACAGTCTGAAAAACAAACCTATATAAAGTTCAGAGCAACTGTAACTGGTAAAACCAGTCTGCAAAAGAACGGACTCGTTATCTGCAACGGTCTTTCCTAAAACATGTTGCTATCAAGCACAATAACTACAAGGAGGGTTGTCAAAATGGGGCAATTTAGAAAATTCTTAGCATAGCAATAGACACCAATGCATTAGCTTCAGGTCTGTGTTTTGACACATAATGCAATAAAATTATATTTAATACTAACAATATTTCAGTATTTTATAGAATTATAAATACAAGCAGTTTTTAAAAACATATTTCATGATTTTTCTTTTTTTTGTGTGTTTCTCTGTAGTAATGACTTAAATGAACACCCAACTCAATTTAGTGGTTACCTCATTCCAGTAAATGCTACTGCATTGAAAAGGAAGTAAAAATTGTACTCCACTGTACTTCCATGTTGTAGACCATCTCATGATAGGCATGATCATGGGTGCTCTGGCACCTACATATCGTACGAGCACATGCACAAAAAGAAAAAACAAATAGCAAAAGTAATATCTAATATTTTGATTTAAGATAAGCTTTTCTAATAATTTCATACTTTTTGTAGAACATTTAAAAATAATTATTTTAGAATATTAAAAAATATAATGTATAAAAAAATATATATATCGGAGGCTGACCTTCGAGATGACCAGACATGTTGTGCACGAGCTCCTATTTCTTTGGCTGATTTTAAGGTGCTACACCCAACTAATAAGCTAATACTCCCACTAAAGACCACTTCTCCTATCGGGGGGTTCCTGGCTTCAGGGAGGTTACCTGAGACTTTTAACCTCCCTGAAGCCAGAGATCCACCGCTACAGCCTGCTGGGGACAGAGTTGGGGAGAAGCAGTCAATTTCACCCTTCAGATCTCTGTACAGCTGTAGAGTCCCGCTGCCCTCCTAACCCCTCTCCCCCAGACCGGTGGGGCATATCCCGGTCCCCACTGGACTGACTCAAGCTAATTAGGCTGCACTTACCATTCGTTACAAGCCACACTTTTGCCACAACTCCAACTATACAAGATGGCAGATGCCTTTCCACCTGACTTGCACGGTGTAAACCCATCTCAGGAACCTCAGTGCGACTTCTTTGACTCTTGTCTGGACTAGATATTTCGGGCCTTTTGGGTTAGACTGCGAGAGCGTGCTAAAGCCACCCAGACAAAACAGCAGGAAGAGGGAGAGAGAACCTTACTTCCGGAGATGCAAGAGCACCTCAGGGCGATGCTATTGTTCAAGTATCTCATCTTTCTACTGTTTGCATACCTCAGCCCCGAGGCCTGGCCCCTCTGCATTGACCATGCAGGCAGAGGATCACACCACCAACGACAGCTACCACCCAGATTTTCCGACTGCCCCTGGTGGGGAAAGGACTTGGCCTCCGAGACACAAAGGGCCAGAGGGATGCCCTCTATTGATGCTATACTGCACATACTCCCATGATCTTCCCTAAACGTTCACTACGTTTGTAATGGAGCGCCTGTAACCAGAGTGGTACCTCCGCTGTAGATTCTCCCAGGTCCTGTTATTAAGCAGTGATTATAACTTTTGCATACCCAAACATCAGTTGAGACTTAATGAAGAGTACAAAATGAACTGGTTTATTCAGCCAAAAGCACACACATTTATACACAGACCCCCAGCATGGGTTCTTCATTGTATTCCACATAACCCCGCCCAGGCGTCTGTGTCCAGGATATAATTGAATTGATAACCAGTAAACTAATTATCTCCAGGTCACAGAGGGTACACACACAAAAAGCCCCAAAACAAACTCAATACACGAAAATACCCCCACGTGTCCTATTTCCCCCAATAACCCTGATCTGAGCGCCCAAATTGTCCAAATAGTGCTCAGATCCATGTAGTGTAGGGGGTTCGCCACGAGGGCAAAGTTTTGACCTGCCGCAAACGTGGTCCTATGCCGATTAGTGCTTTTGCCAGTCAACTTTCAGGAGCTCCTGTGGATGAACTAAGGGGTACTCCTCCTGGCTCTCAGGGAGCGTTTGCTCCTTACAGTCTTGGGCACCTTCCTTCCAAAAAGTGCTCTCCTGGCAGGTTGGCAAGGGGATCAAAACACTGGACCATTATGACCCGGAACCGCAAGGTCGCATAGACAAAAACGGTTCCAGAGATCGCGGCTAAGTACCGCTGAAGTATGTTCATGAGTTGGTCCGTGCGAACGACCACTAGGGAGCAATCATTCGGCTGAATTTGGGAGAGAAAAGGTACCGAACCAGGGGAACTGAGGAGAAGTCTCTTAGGGAGGCCAGGCAGGTTAACTCCCAAACAGGGTCTTTGAATACGGACCATAGTCCTTGGGCAGGGGGGCTAGCTAGCAGGCTCCTCCAGGAGCTTGTGGCATAGGCATATTTTTGACAAGTGCTTTGTTAATATTTTAATTTTATCTACTCTTATGATCTCTACCTGGTGTAGTGCAGAAGTAGGGTTATATCCCTAGTTCTAGTGGAAAATATTTAAACAAACTATTCTCATGGAAGTTACATTAACATATTATTTAGTACTCTTTACTTAAATTCAGTGGTTTCCAAACCAATCCTCAAGGCACGCCTACCAGTCCAGGATTTAGGGATTGTCCAGTTGTATCAAAGGTGTTTTTAGAGAAAATAAAAAAAGAAAAACACTTTGGAAAGTTAAGTGATTTTCCTGTTCAGCTAGCCTTACTTGTTTTACAGTTCGTCTTTGATAAATATTAAGCCTAGAGTAGAGTCTGTATGTGTAGCATTTCACTTTGAAACCAGGGGGGATTAGGCTAAGGGGAGAACTTGGCCTCGGCAATGTAATAGAAGTTTTTGCTATTTTCTTTATTTGTTTGAGTTTGAGGGACATACCACCACAGAAAGGGTTATTCTAACCAGAACCTGTTTTTTTCTGTTTGTTTTTTTTAATGAAAACACTCTTAGAATACTATTGTAATATTACAGAAGCAGACAGAGCACCACAAGTTTTAATAATTTGTGTTAATGCTGTCAATTCAGCATTGTCAACCATACAAATTCAGAAAGTTCCAAATAATAACCAGCACAAAATCGGGTTGGAAAGGAATTCAACAATCCATCAGAGAACACTTTACATAACACTGTAATTGCCATGTATACAAAAGTAGTACTACTGGAAAAACTACATGTAGGCACAAGAGCAATTGAGTATTGTTAATTTGTTTTCCTTGCTAGATGAACAATTTGTACTAAAATATAAAAATTACTAACTGCACAGTATATATTAATAAAGGTAAATACAGCTCTAAAGAACACAACGACTTGAAAACATTTATTTTGAAAGTTAAGTCTAATACAACTAGAGCTTGTTCTAAGGCTTACTGTTAAACGCTAAAAGATACAATAGTTAAAACAAACAAATCATGTTGTATTCTGATACCATTTGTTCTGTATCATACAATATGTAGATACACTTTCCTCTTTGAAAATGTTTCGTCATCTCCCCTTCCCCATTTTCTTTCTTCTTTCAAATATATTTTATTAAAGATATAGTTTTACAATGGCAATAACTTTTACAATAAAAAAGAAAATACCATATATATGTTATATATTAAAAGGGTAAATATCAATGTATGCAGTCCATATGTAAATCAATTATGAAAGTATTGAACAGGCACTTTATAATCAATTTTCACTGTGATAACATATTGGTATAAATGAACTATGCAATTAAATTGCAATATTAATAAATAAAACAAAAAATAAAGAAATGGGGGGGGGGGGAAGAAAGAAGAAAACAAGAAGGAAAAAAGGGGAAGGGGAGTGCATCCCTCCACAATAGCTTTTTTTCAACTTAAATTGTAATGACTATAACCAATTCTAGTATACATAACATAACACAACAATACCTAGTTCAGATAATAGCACAATAGAATAAAAAATGTTGTTGTCAAACTATTTTCCAAATGCATTTCTTTATACAAGCAATAAAAACTTATATTATTTTTTAATCTTTGTTCCCCATTGATCCCAGTAGTGTCTAAGGTTATCTAACTGCAAAGAAGGTTGTCTGAGAGCCAATTCGTACCCCTCATTTTCTAGTATATAATTAAAAACTTCTTTAATAGTATGGATTGTTGGTGACCTCCAGTATCTGGTGATGACCATAGTAGCAGATAAAAGGATATGTCCAATTATAATTTTATCAATTTTTTGTGAGTACGGGAATATCAGAATTTACTTTTTGGATTAATTTATGTATTTTCTGCCAAAATTGTGTGAGTTTAGTTCAATACCAAAAAACATGTGAAAGCATTCCACAATAATTCCAACATTTATCTAAAATATCTGGATTTTATTTTATTCAACTTATAGGTGGATAAATACCATCTATAAATTATTTTGAAATGTTGTACCATTTAGAATAGATTTCTTTATAAATAGACTGGATTAGTGATGGTAATAGCAGGACAATAAATAGAAATTGATTGCTAGCAGTGAATCGGGTAAGAACAGACTGCTTTAGTAACAGAGAAATTGTAAATTAAGGAGAAATGCTAGTGTAACTATTTATAGTGATACAATAAAACATGGGCTTCTTTATTAGAAGACTGGGGATCACAAATGTAGTATGGTCTCTCTGTCTCTCTCAGCACTCTCTCTGTCCTGTTATCTTACTAAATGCATTTTATATTTTAATGTCTGGATGGGCCAATCACTACAACACATCTGTCTCTGGTGCTGTGGTCCCTGGTCATCATACAGAGTCATTACACTCAGATGGTCAGTGGAAGCCAGTGATACATTGTGATACCCAACACCCTGCAATCCCAGGGATGCCTGTCCATGCTGGCCCCTGGCCGGGTCTCTTACCAATGATAGGTCTGGTGTTGACAGGCTGGCCGTGTCCATGCAGAGTGGAGGCCAGGGACCGGGAGTAGAGCAGCAGAGCGATGAGCAGCAGGACGGCCAGGCAGCAGATAATGGCACACTGTCTCCTGGAGCAGCCATTCCTCCTGATACATGCTAGCGCTCGGCGCAGCTTCCAGGATAAGTTATGTTGGCACTGAGCCATCAGCAGCTGGCTCCCCCTCCTCCTCCTCCTGAACTCACAGCCAGAGAGACCGCATTGCATCAGCGAGCAGCGCTCTGCCTGATCCCACACTATGGAGGCAGAGCGACAGGAATGGAGCCCGGGCCATGGACTTCCTACTCACACTGTCAGCCAGCTCACACCCACTTACCTTGTGTGTCCCTACCACACTCACACCGAGGGCTGGCTGTGTGAGTGTGAGTGAGATAGGGGGAGGGGAGGAGGGCCAGTCACACTAACATGGGAACAGTAACATCTGGCCATATAATATACCAAAACACTGATAATATACACTGACTGATAATATACCATAACACTGATAATATACACTGACTGAAATATACACTGACACTGATAATATACAATAACAATGATAATATACACTAACTGATATGCTATAACACTGGCAATATACCATAACAATGACAATATACACTGAAATATACACTGATAATATGCCAGTGCAATGATAATATATCACAAAAGAGAATGCACACTAGAAACACTAGATGAAGTTATGCAAATACTTTGTTAGACCAACATTTGGTACAATAAGCATAAAGCAAAAATACAAAGTGACAATTTAAAGGCATAATCAAATAAACAATAATAATTACTACAATTCTCACAAGCCTATAGTGGCAGAAACATGAGTCCCCAATAGCCCCAATGTTTCGGCACCTCCTTTTTCAAGGGTGTTTGTATCATATCATCACAATCCCTTTATATAACCCCCATACAGCTGATGGCCAACAGTAATTCAGCAGGTCCGAAACCGGAAGTGACATCATCACTTCCGTAATCGATCCCAAACATATCCATACACATAAACACTATATCATGCACCATGAAGTGAATAGCTAAAGTATTAATCATCTTATCCTCTATATACACAAGAGTCTCTGTAAAAATACATAAATCAACATTCATAGAGCCGCAAGCAAACTCACGCATCCGCGATCGTTAGTTGTCATATACAGTGCCATTCCAGTTACTGGAAAAATGCCCATAGTAACTACACAAGTACGCCGCACATTCTCCCTCACAAGAATGTGAACCGGAATACCACGCGAGCGCAATGAAAGACAAGCGCTGTTACCAGGGATGCCACCAGAAATTTTTGTGCCCCTAACAGAACAAATGGTCTGGGCCCCTCCACCCTGTCCAGCGACGTTATAGCACATTTTTCATGTGCTATAAACACAGAAGTGTCCTCTAGTGGTTGTCAGAGCGGCAACACTCTGATTGGCTGAGCTCGCTGACAATCATGGTCTGCAGCTCTGTACCCGTGGAGGCAGAGCTGCAGACAGGAGTCACAGGGATTTGTGCACTGCAGTGCACGGTGACCGCTCTCTCCCGGCCGCACACTTACAGGGGGGCCCAGCATCCAGCGGCACAGAGGCTAAGCCGCTAGGCCCCCCTACTGTCGGGCCAGCCCGACAAATCAGTCATCCCGAGTCTCGGCCCGCTCTAGCAATCCGGCTGCAGGCCAGGCCTGTGACAATTGTCACAGTTGTTATGCCCTGATGGCGGCCCTGGCTGTTACTATGTATCAACATAGTAAACCCTCAGCATATGATGTACCAAACTACCATATGATTCCTAAAGATTAACCATCTGTATATAATCATTACAGAGGGGAAAATAAAAGGGAAGCAAGTCAATATAGGCAAAAATAGGAAACTTACACAAAAGTATTTGAAGCATTATAACAGTACAGGTAATTAATTACCATCACCAAAAAAAGAAAAAGAAGTAACACCAAAGTAAAGTGCAAATATATTTAATACCCTCATGTGATAATAATGGCTGTAAAACAGGTATCCACATCAACATTATATATTCGCATATCCATTGTACTAGAGATATATACATGTAAACACTTTTTACAGATATCTAGTATATACATAAATATGCTATATACAAGTACATACATTCTAGATTTACAAAGATATCTACAAAACCACTATATATACGCACAGGGCCGCCAAGATCTGGGTGTGTTTTTAGTGAGTGCAAAGTGTGTATAGTGCATGTAGTGTGATTGTGGTGAATGCAATATGTGTATAGTGAATGTAGTGTGTTTGCAGCGAGTGCAAAGTATGTATAGTGATTCTAGTGAGTGCAAAATGTGTATAGTTCGTGTAGTGTGATTGTAGTGAATGCAAAATGTGTATAGTTCATGTAGTGTGATTGTAGTGAATGCAAAATGTGTATGGTGAATATAGTGTGATTGTGGTGAATGCAGAGTGTGTATAGTGAATGCAGTGTTTGAAGTGAGTGCAAAGTGTGTTTAGTAAATGTAGTGTGTTTGTAGTGCAGAGTGTGTTTAGTGAATGTAGAGTGAGTGTGTGTAGTGCAAAGTGTGTTTAGGGAATGTAGTGTGTGTGTGTAGTGCAGAGTGTGTTTAGTGTGTGTAGTGCAGAGTGTGTTTAGTGAATGTAGTGTGGGTGTGTGTAGTGCAGAGTGTGTTTAGTGAATGTAGTGTGTGTGTGTGTGTGTGTGTAGTATAGAGTGTGTTTAGTGAATGTAGTGTGTGTAGTGCAGAGTGTGTTTAGTGAATGCAGTGTGTGTGTAGTGCAGAGTGTTTTTAGTGAATGTAGTGTGTGTGTGTGTGTGTAGTGCAGAGTGTGTTTAGTGAATGTAATGTGTGTAGTGCAGAGTGTGTTTAGTGAATGTAGTGTGTGTGTGTGTAGTGCAGAGTGTTTAGTGTGTGTAGTGCAGAGTGTGTTTAGTGAATGTAGTGTGTGTGTGTGTAGTGCAGAGTGTGTTTAGTGAATGTAGTGTGTGTAGTGCAGAGTGTGTTTAGTGAATGTAGTGTGTGTGTGCTTGTAAGGATGCAGTGTTTGTGTAAAGTAGGGGGGAGGGGAGTATTAAAAAAGAAATATTTGTGTATATTTAAAATTAAAATTTTATTCCCCCCTCCCTGCTTCTTACCTTGCCAGGGAGGGGGGAGATCGCATTGTGGAGGGGGCCAGCCGTGGTACATTGCAGAGGGGGGCCGGGCAGCAGCACACTGTCTTCCTTTCCAGCTCCTCTCTGACAAACTCTCGCAAGACCGGCCTGCGTGCTGTGCGGAGCGTTGCCATGGTAACCCGTGGCAACGCTCTGGCGGCCGCAGGAGAGTTAGAAAGAGAGGAGCTTGAAGGAGGACAGAGTGTGCTGCTGGGCCCCCCTCTGCAATTTACAGGTAGGGGGTGCTCAGTGCACAGATATATAGTGAAATTCGCTATATATATGTGCACATAAGGAATGTGGGGCTCAGACTGCCAGAGCAGTCCGGGCCCCCCAGGACCGCCAGGCCCATGACAACCGTTATGATTGTCATGCCCTGATGGCGGCCCTGTATACGCATAGCCATTATGTTAAAGATATTTACATAATTTTACAGATATTTAGTATATACACAAATATATTATATACCCATGTATACATTCCAGATGTACAAAAACAATGCAATACATAAAAGCATTGAAAAGAACCACATTTAATTGGCAATACAATACCATTATGTTCAATATCTCCATTATAACTAACATCATAATACCCAAATCAAAGGTTTTTGAATATACTGAATATGACTATATATCCTAGGACTGCAAGCTATACGTCCATGGCGAACCTTTTTGAGCCCAAGTGCCCAAACTGCAATACATGCCAACTTTTGTTTCTCAAAGTGCCAACACAGCAATTAAACCTGAATACTGAGGTTTAAATTTAGAAAAAATAACTTGTACGGTTGTCCGAACTAATTAACTACTTTCGTTTTAAAAGACAAACACAACAGAGAGTTCAATGATATAAATTTTAAATAATGATATAAATAGATACATTTAAGCTTATATTTATTAGTATCTCCAACAAATGCAATACATACACACACAGATTGCTGAATACCTACACAGACAGTCTGCTGAATACACACACACACACACACACAGTCTGCTGAATACACACACACAGACTGCTGAATACACACACACAGTCCACTGAATACACACACTGCTGAGTACACACAGACTGCTGAACACACACACACACTGCTGAACACAGACACACACTGCTGAAAACACACACACACACAGACTGCTGAATACACGCATCTACAGACTGCTAAATACACACACACATACTGCATTGAGGGATGCAGTGTATGTGTTTGTGTGTGGGGTGCTGTGTGTCTCAGGGCTGCTGTGTGTGTGTGTGTGAGAGGGGTGTTGTGTGTGTGAGGGGTGTTGTGTAAGTGAGGGGTGCTGTGTGTGTGGGGAGGTAGGGGTGCTGTGCTGTGTGGAGGGTAGGGGTGCTGTGCTGTGTGTGTTGGGGTAGGGGTGATGTGTGTGTGTTGGGGGAGGGGTGCTGTGTGTGTTGGGGGGGTAGGGGTGCCGTGTGTGAGGTGTGTTCTGTGTGAGGGGTGTTATGTGTGAGGGTGCTGTGTGTGTGTGAGAGAGGGGTGCTGTGTGTGTGGGGAGGTAGGGGTTCTGTGTGCTGTGTGGGGGTAAGGGGTGTTGTGCTGGGGGTAGGGTGATGTGTGTGTGGGGTGGGAGTGCTGTGTGTGTGTTGGGGTGTTGAGGAGTGCTGTGTGTGTGTTGGGGGTGGGGGTGCTGGTGGGGAGACGGGGGTGCTGGTGAGGTAAGGTGCTGTGCTGTGGGGTGGGGTGCTGTGTGTGTGGAGTGGGGTGCTATGTGTTGGGGTGTTGTGTGTGTGAGAGGGTGCTGTGTTTGTGTGAGGAGGAGTTGCTGTGTGTGGGGGTGGGGTGCTGTGTGTGTGTGTGGGGGTGGGGGTCTTTGGGCGGGGTAGGGTGCTGTGCTGTGGGGATGGGGTTGCTTTGTGTGTGTGTGTGGTGAGGTGGGGAATTGGGGGTGCTGTGTGTGTGTGGGGAGGGTGCTCTGTGTTGGTGGGGTGCCTGTGTGGAGTAGGGGTCTGTGTGGGAGGATGGGGGTGCTGTGCTGTGTGTGGAGTTGGGGGTGCTGTGTGGGTGGAGTGGTGTTTTTGTGTGTGGGAGGTGGGGGTGTGTGTGTGTGGTTGGTGGGGTGCTGTGTGTT